CCGTGCACCAAACGAAAGCGTTGCTGCAAGCACCTCCGCCGTCAACTTTGAGTCGCTGTTGAGTCTGAAGAACTACTCTATGAGCTCCATATCCAACCACTGAGCACATACACAAGCACAGGAAATAAAACTCGGTTCCAAGTACAAGCGAAGAATCCTGGGCGGAAAGCCCTGAATGCCAAACGATCTGCGTCGGGCGACGGCGACTGACTGCGGTTGCGCTCCTTCGACGTTTGCATCGCTGCGGCGGGTGGTCGTAGCTAGTCGTAACAGATCGTGTCAGCTCTGTTGCTCGTACCGGAACACTAGAGCCGCGTAATATTCTTGCTGCTGAAGTTTATAAGCCTACGTTCGTGGCCAACGCATTTACACAAAGCCAACGCCCAGCTAACCTATCCCCCTCTTTCTCTTTCGGCGACCGGCCGCCAGGGCGGTGACATCGTCGCTGAAACTCCTCAATCGCCTACGTCCCTACGTCGTCTTCTTTGCCATAGGGCAGCTGACCGCTTCTACGTGCGCGAGCTCTCGCTGGAAGCGTAATCCTATTTATATAGTGCTCATCCGTGTGTACTGTAGCGAATACTTCAGGCCCAACATATCAATAGTTTATTGTTATCAACCAGGAAAACGCAATATCAGTAAACACCCCCCGACAAAGAAAGAAAACGAGAGCTCGCCGTTCGCTTTGACCAACGTTGGCTTTGACCAATAGACCGATCTCACCAACCGTCAAGAGCGTGCGTGACGCAGCCATAGTTGTACTTCACAGGAGGCAGCGGTAGTGCACGAGACGGCTCGTCTCGTGCACTACCGTGGCGTTTACCCTCGTGCGGAAAGATCACAGTTCCCGCAATTCATTGCGACAGAGGAGGCATTGCGAAACTGGCGATGAGGTCGGTCTATTATCCCAAGCACGGTTCACAAATCTGCGTTTCGAGCGACAGAAACGACAAAAACAACACGAACGACATGACAAAGGGGACGATTATGTTCGTAATACAGAGCGTGGCAGATAATGCAATGAGCAGCTTTGTCAAGCAATCATGTGTCACGGTTGTCCCGGTGTCATGTCGTTCGTGTCGTTTCTGTCTTTCCTGTAGCTCGGAAGGCAGATGTGTGAACCGGCCTTTACGAGCCTACTCTGAGGGTATACGCTTGAACGTCACGGAAAATCGGTCTCCTCACCTTTTCGAGGTGTCGCCACGGGTACGAATACTGGCGTGGTATTAAGTGATTTGTTCGGCACACAAGCGTCACTACAGGTTATGACTCTGTCAACATTGCCTGAATCCTATTCTAATTGTAAAATAAAATCTCGAAGGTGTCTTCCCGGGCACAATGTCCGCCCATATCAAAATCGAACTTTGCGGTTTTTTTAAATGCAATATTTAGCATTATTTCGCGCATTAAGTTCCCGGAAATTAGCAGCACATTCGGGAAATTGAAGTTGAGTGTTTTTTTTTTTTTTTTCATAACTCTCGGAAATGATGACAAGCGGTTTCTCCGGACTTTTAGTTGCAAATTCACAAGATATATTATAATTTATGTTGCATAATTATCAAATTCGCGGCCTTTCTGTAACAATCGGTTCGAGACAGATTCTCTGTCGCTCGGTTAACAAGTGTTCATTCAACGCAGGAGCGCACTTCAACAAACCGCTGATCAATCTTGCCGTCCGCTACACCATTGTAAAAATTCACTACGGGCTTGAATCATCGCGATATGTGTCATATGCCTTCCAACGACAAGAAGTGTTTCAGAATTGAATTGTAAAAAGTTGGTTATCAGATATATTATTTTTGTTTTACATGAAATTCTTGCCTCACTCTGAGCACCTATGCATTAGACCATAACAACGTAAAAAAGAAACATGAATAAACAACGGCCAAGGGGAGCACAGCGTCACGCACGAAGCCCGAGAAGCCCGGGCAATTGGCGCCTCGGAGTCGCGTCCAGCCGGCGCGCCGGCAACCCGCCGTGGCCGTGGGGCAGGCGCCGGGACGTTGCGGCCACTGCGCGCCTCCGTCAGCGAAGGCACACGGCACACGGCGAATTCTGCGAATCCCGATGAGCCAGTAGATTTATTGGAGTAAGACACATGGCAGCGTCTGACAGGCGTCCATTCTAGATGCCACCTGTCTCTATGCGACGCTCTAATTGGCCCACTGAGTCGTAGCTTCCACAGTTTGCTAAGTGTGCCCATAGGCAACCAGCATTGCAGCAAATACCATTGACTACCAATACTGGAAACTCGAGCCAAAATACATGGGGTTGTCGGGAGACACAGAAGTGCTGCCATCTCTCGGTGTGGGATGGTAAACTATGCGCTCGAAATTAAAAGGCAAACAGTCATTCACTACTCTATTTCTTCTCTTCACACTATCAGGAATTGTGAATATATGGCAAATCGGTGTGCCGATTTCAATTGAGCAAAAGCTGATACACGGTATTTCTGATAATGAGGTGCGCTTCATGTTGGCACTAAGTATTTAGATTATATAGATCTTTGTATTACAGCTGGTACAAATGACCTACCGGCAATTAGTGACTTTCTAGTAAATTGACAGTTTATGGAGCTGCAGTGACTGGCTCTTTGCAGTTAGAAATAAAGCAGAGCAATTCAAATATGTAATTGCTCCATGGGTCATTATTTTAAATTGTATGAGATTCACTTCCAATGAGTCTGGAAATGCTACACGACGCAGTTATTACAGCCAGTAAATGCTACACTGGCTGTTTAACGAAGAGTCAGTATCTATAAGGAAGTAGAAATTGTGTCCGGTTCAGTTTTACCTGTCGTTTTGGGGGCCTGGTTAGCCTCTAACGACTGCAATTACTATTGAATTATATTTCTGAGTTATATGAATGAGTAAAAACTAGATTGCCTTCCAGGGGCTATTAATGGCTCTGGGCCAATATCCTAAGCTATTTCGCGGCATATAGACCAAGCAGCTGTTTATTAGGTAGTTCCATTTGTGATGGACTTTATTGACCATTAGTGACCATTTCGTGATATTTGTAATGTTATGTCTGAGATTGGATTTGAATGACAATTATTTGATGTTTGATTTTATTTCCTAATTATATGGTGGATTTCAGTTCCAAATGACTTTTAATGACAATCAATGACTATTTGTAACTATTTTGAGTTATTTGATTTTATGCAGGCTGAGTTGGCTTTGAATGGTTAATTTTGGCTTTTTGATCAAAATTTGACATGATAGATATGTAATCCAAATGACTTCTAGTTACTTTTAACGACTTTTGGCCACTATTTTGAGTTATTTGATTGTGTGCAGACTGAGCTGGCTTCATATGGCTATTATTGGCTACGTGACCATGTTTATAAATTATATGGCAGATTTGGGGTCCAAATTACTTCCGTGACTATCAATCACTATCAGTCACTTTTTCAACTTATTTGTTGCGTGCAGACTGAGTTGGCTTCCAGTGGCTACTATTGGCTATACATTCATATTTATAATTATATGGCAGATTTAGAGTCCAAAAGACTTCTAGTGATTGTCCATGATTATGAGTCCCTATTTTGAGTTATTTGATTGTGTGAATACTGAGTTGGCTTCATATGGCTATTATTGACTATATGATTATATTTATAAATTATATGGCAGATTCGGAGTTCAAATGACTTATACTGACTATTAATGACTATTGGTCACAATTTTGAGTTATTTAATTGTGTGCGGGCTGATTTGGCTTCCAATGGCTATTATTGGCTATACAATAACAATTTTTATTTATATGGCAGATTCGTGGTTCAAACAACTTCTAGTGACTATCAATTGCTATTAGTCACTATTTCTACTTACCTGATTGTGTGCAGACTGTGTTGGAACTTTCGCGAGGACGGCATCGGATTCCCTCTGCTGGGAGGATGCACGCGAGGAGCGAGCTGAACCTCACACCACGGCTTGTCTCGGCGGAGACGATTTACGATCGCGCGCGGGGGTCGAGATGTAAACTTCGTACCCGCAGCGGCCGGATGCAGCCGCGAAGATCAACAGCTGGGAAAGTGGAGACGGACAGAACGAAAGCTGGAACGCTACGGATCGGAGAACGAGAAAGTGGCTCGTCTGTTTTGAACGTGTGTAGTGTGTGTAGTTTAAAATAAAAGTGTTGAGATTTGTTGAGACTGATCGATATCTCGGAACGCCAAGAAGCAACAATTCCCTCAACAAAATAATTGGTGCCGAAACCCGGGAAAAGAGACTACTGCACTACAAATGAAGCCGACGAGCAAGGTGTGATCGAATCGCCAACAGACAGAGAAGGGAACGTAACGACTGAACGGGCAAAACCTGGTAATGAACGACAACATCTACGATAGACCGACACAAGCAAGCAGCACTGCAAGCCAGGACTGAACGGCAATGGACGTCCTCAAGAAAAAACGAAAAACGCATCGAACGCAAGTAACGAGGCTCCTCAGCGAGGCACAGGATTTATTACAATCAGCTACGCCGACCGTCGATGATATCGATATATTGATCGAACGTCTAAGCCTCGCTCGGGACCAACTCAACCAAGTAGATGCCGCGATTGAGTCGTTGATTTCCGAAAAAGAAGCAGAAGCGGAATTCACGCAATTGATAGATTACTCTGACAAGATCGTCACGTGCCTAGCAAAGCTCAAAAGGAAAGTGAAAAGTCCGGAGGACAGCCAACGAACAAGCGGGAAACCGAACGAAGAGCGGGAAGCAAGAAAGGTGACATCAAAAATCAAGCTTCCCAAATTAGAGCTCATCAAGTTTAACGGACACCGAAGAAATTGGCAGCCCTTCTGGGAGCAATTTCAGACCGCCATCCATGAAAATCCGGAACTATCGTCCTCAGAAAAATTCAACTACTTGAGGTCAGCCCTGACTGGTGATGGAGCAGCCGCCATCGCAGGACTGCACCCAATTGCTGAATGCTACGCCCACGCCATCGAGCTCCTGCAGCAGCGGTTCGGGAACCAGGCGGAGCTGATACAGGACCACATGACAGGGCTCATGGACATCATTCAGGTGCCGTCATCGCGCAGCGTCAGAGCTCTGCGGCGGGTCTACGACAGCGTCCAGGCTCAAATCCGGGGCCTTCGGGCGTTGGGTGTGACGGATCAGTCATACTGTGCCATGCTCTACCCGGTTCTGCTTCGTGCGCTTCCGGACGACATGAGGCTCGAGTTCAACCGCAAGATGTCTTCGGGGAACGCCGAAAACGCCACCGCCGGGGGAACATCAGCAGCCGACATCGGCTCCGACTCAGCAACGGAACAAGGACCCGTTAAGGAGGTGAGCGCGCTGCTGAACTTTCTCAAGATCGAGGTGGAGAGCCGGGAGAAAACATCCAAGGAACAACCCGAAGACGCCGGCGGTAAGCCTGCACATTGTTTCCCCATGCATGAACATCCGAAGAGGCGCCTAAACAACGCCAAGACTCGGAACGCTACCGCTACGGCCTTGCATGGCAGGATGGACAGCATGGAATGCTTTCTTTGCAAATCAAAGGCGCACAGCACACCAGACTGTAACGCGAAGATCGAACTCAAGGAAAAGAAGCGCAGGCTGCAAGCCGATCGCAGGTGCTTCCGGTGCACAAAGCCGAACCACACGGCAAGAATGTGTCGCGGCACGCTCCGTTGTGACAGGTGTGGAGGAAGGCATGTATCCTCTATGTGTGATCCAGATTACTTGCCGGGACGAGCCGCCAGCGGATCGGATGAAACGCGGAAGAAAGACAAGACGCCTCTCAACCTGCATGTGAGCGAGAAGGGCAACAAACCGGCTGTCCTTCTGCAAACCGTTACCGCGTGGGTGGAAAGCAAGAACAGAAGAAAGTTGGCCCGCATTCTCTTCGACAGCGGTAGTCAGCGCTCCTTCATTACAGAGGAGCTGTCGAGGGGTCTTGGTTGCAAGCTTCTCGGAACGGAGGTTCTTACCGTCGGAGTGTTCGGTGGCAACACTAGCGAACAAACGTACCGTAGAGTTCAAGTAGTTTTGAGTAATCGTCTAACCGGCCAGACATACGAGATAGACGCCCTCGAGATGCGTTCTATCTGCGAACAAGAACTTCCAGGCCCGGATGAAGACATCCTGGTGAATATGGAGGAGCTCGGACTAATGGTTGGTGACGACCTGAACGGACTCGAGTGCAACGGAGTAGGAATCCTCTTAGGATCGGAGCACTACTGGGGATGCGATACGGGAAGAGTCCGTCGACTGAGCGAGAACCTGACGGCAGTGGAGACCGCCTTTGGTTGGGCAGTACATGGACGTTCCCAGGCAACTGCAGCTGTTGTCAACTGTTCCCAAGTGATCGTCCTCAGAGCTGCCGTGAGCGACCAGGAGAACACGGCTGTCCTGAGAGGATTTTGGGAGCTTGAGAGTATGGGAGTTGTGGACGCAGAGGTCCAGGATCACTCCGATAGCGACATCATGCAGCGCTTTGAGAGGAGCCTCACCAAATCTGATCGAAGATACGAAGTGAGCCTCCCTTGTAAACCTGATGTAAAGCTTGATTGTAACCGAGAGATGGCTTGGAAGAGACTCGAAAGCCAACGAAAGAGGCTAAGCAAGAATCCTGAGCTCATGCAGAGATATGATCAGGCAGTCCGGCTTTACGTCGAGAACGGAATGGCTGAGAGGGTCGAGAGAGACGATAACTCGAATGAACGGGTCTACTACATGCCCCACCAGGCTGTTCTGCGAGAATGCAGCAGTACGACGAAGATGAGAATCGTTTTCGACGCGTCTTCGCACGGACCGAACTGCAAGTCACTAAACGACAACCTGGAGAGCGGTCCGAACCTGAACCCAGACCTTGTTAGCCTGCTTCTCAACTTCAGGCAACACCCGGTGGCACTGGTTGCGGACGTCGAAAAGGCCTTCCTTCAAATTGAAGTAAACCCGGAGGATCGCAATGCTCTGCGGTTCCTCTGGTACAAAGAAGTTCCTCAACCGAACCAAACAACTCCGGAGGTGGAAGTCTGGCGTATGACCAGGGTCATTTTCGGAGCCACATCCAGCCCCTTTCTGTTGGCCGCGACCCTACGACATCATTTCAGAGAAATGGAGAGCGTATTCCCCAAGACAGCAGAGCGACTGGGTAGATCGGTTTACGTTGACGACCTCTTGACGGGCGCGGAAAGTGAAGAGGACGCCCGGACATTCTGCAACGAGGCGATCGAGATATTTGGAGCAGCGGGGATGAAGCTCCATAAGTGGGGCTCCAATAGCGCAGCCCTGTCGAAAATTCTTGAAGACAAGGGTCCCGATGAGAGACCATTGGGACAACAGACGGGTGTGTTGAAGGTACTCGGTCTGACGTGGAAGCCGAATGAAGACAGCCTTTCCTTTTCGGCAGAACACGTGATTGATTTTGCCCGCCAACGAAGAAACACCAAGCGTTTCGTGCTCCAGACGACAGCACGACTGTATGACCCCCTTGGTTTCCTCTCCCCCTTCGTGGTGCGAGCCAAGATCTTGTTTCAGGAAATCTGGAAGCTGAATTTGCGCTGGGACGATACACTGCCGGAAGGACTGATGAGTGGCTGGAACAACTGGTGCGACGAGCTCACCACACTTCAGCAAATTAACGTGCCCAGATTCTACGACAGCGAGCTGAAGGGCAACGTTGTACATCGAACGTTGCACGTATTCTCGGACGCCAGCACCTCCGCATACGGTTCGATGATATTCATCTGCTCTACGGATGACACCGGAGAAATGACCGCGACACTCTTACTGGCTAAGTGCCGCGTGTCGCCCCTGAAGGAAATCTGCCTTGCTAGATTAGAGCTCACGGCATGCTTGATCGGATCGAGGCTGTTTAAGTACGTAAGGACACACCTCGAAATCAAAGTGGATGAAGTCCACTTCTGGGCGGATTCTATGATCGCTCTGCATTGGATTAGGGGAGAGCCATCCAGGTGGAAGACGTTCGTGAAAAATAGAGTACAAGAAATTCAAGCAAACAACGAGAAGGCAATGTGGCACCACTGCCCGGGGAAAGAAAATCTTGCGGACCTGATGACACGAGGGCTGTCCGCGGATCGACTGCTGTCTGCACCGCTCTGGTGGAACGGACCAACTTGGTTGCTACTGCCCGCGACAGAGTGGCCTGGGGAAAGTGACGAGGAGCTTTCCCACGACGGGCTCGAGGAGAGGACTCCAAGAGCAGAGCTCTTCGAGGTAACTGCAACTGTACCGGAAGAGTTGCTGGACGTCTCAAGGTTCAGCTCGGCCTTGAAACTCCACAGAACAACGGCCTGGATTTTACGGTTCACCTATAACCTTAGATCGTCAGAAGAAAGGATGGGACCACTGACCGCCGAGGAGATCCACGTAGCGCAAACACACTGGATAACGAGAGCACAAAGATCAGCGTTTGCCTCCGATATTGATTGTGCAGCAAAGAGAATGTCGCCCCCACCTGGGTCGCTCTTGCGTGACTTTCGCACTTTCATCGATGAAGAGGGATTGCTGAGGATCAGCGGTCGACTCCAGTCATCGAACCTGACGCAAGAAGAACGCCACCCCATTGTACTGCCTAAGGAGCATCGATACTCAACGTTGCTGACTATCGACGCCCATCGCCAGGTACTGCACGCGAGAGCCAGGGACACTCTCGTGCAGCTGCGCGAAAAGTACTGTATCCTCCGCGGAAGACAACTGGTAAAGAAAGTAGTGCGTGCGTGTGTGACCTGCCAGCGATTCAACGCGACTCCTGCAAGTGCTCCAACGGGACCCTTGCCGGCGGATCGTACAACGCGAGCGGACCCGTTTGAAGTAGTGGGCACAGACTTTGCGGGACCCCTGTATGTTAAGGCGAAGGACCTCACCAGCAAATGTTACGTCTTGTTGTTTACATGTGTGGTTACCCGAGCGGTACATTTAGAGTTAGTGACAGACATGTCGACAAAGAGCTTTCTGTATGCCTTTCGCAGATTTGTGTCGCGGAGAGGGGTATGCCGCGTCATTTATTCGGATAACGCTTTGACATTTAAACGGGCCTCAAAAGAACTAAGGGAACTGTGGAAGACACTCCGACACCCTGATGTGATTCAGCATTTTGCCAATGCTGGCATAGAGTGGCGATTTATTGTCGAACGAGCGCCATGGTGGGGAGGTTTTTATGAGAGGCTCGTGCGCTCAGTAAAGGTGTCATTGAGGAAGGTGATCGGAAAGAAATGCCTGGGCGCAGATGAATTGGCCACGGTTCTCACCGAAATTGAAGCCGTGGTGAATTCGAGACCATTGACCTTTGTATACAACGAGGTGGGAGAGGGCGACCCTCTCACGCCTGCGAGCTTTCTAATCGGTAGACGGCTGACGGCGCTGCCGGCGGCCGGGGAAGAGCCGCTCGCTTCGACACCGGAGACACTTCGCGGTCTGTGGCGAAAGCGAAAACGGATCCTAAATTTATTTTGGGGGACGTGGGGGGCGGAATACCTCCGAGAACTGAGGTCTGCTTATGCTAGTCACCAAAAGCAGTCCCCTCCGCCCCGAGTGGGCCAGTTGGTCCTTTTGAAAGAGCCACTTCCACGACTGCTTTGGAAGCTTGGAAAGGTTGAGAAGGTATTTCATGGACGCGATGCAAGGGTTCGTTCATGCGAGATTCGCGTACATCGCGGTACAGTATTGCGAAGGCCAGTGCAACTAATCTACCCCTTAGAAATGACGGAACTCTAGAATGTGCTCGCGCCCATTCGGTGGGGAGTGTGTTGGAACTTTCGCGAGGACGGCATCGGATTCCCTCTGCTGGGAGGATGCACGCGAGGAGCGAGCTGAACCTCACACCACGGCTTGTCTCGGCGGAGACGATTTACGATCGCGCGCGGGGGTCGAGATGTAAACTTCGTACCCGCAGCGGCCGGATGCAGCCGCGAAGATCAACAGCTGGGAAAGTGGAGACGGACAGAACGAAAGCTGGAACGCTACGGATCGGAGAACGAGAAAGTGGCTCGTCTGTTTTGAACGTGTGTAGTGTGTGTAGTTTAAAATAAAAGTGTTGAGATTTGTTGAGACTGATCGATATCTCGGAACGCCAAGAAGCAACAATTCCCTCAACAGACTGAGTTGGCCTAATATGGCCATTATTGCTGTATGATTATGTTTATAAATCATAAGGTGGGCTTGGGGTCCAAATGACTTCTAGTGACTATCAATCACTATCAGTCACTAATTCGACTTATTTGATTTTATGCAGGTTAGTTGGCTTTCAATGGCTACTATTGGCTATACAATCATATATTTTTATTTATACAGCAGATTCGGGGTCCAAATGACTTCTAGAGACTTTCAATGGCTATTAGTCACTATTTGGACACCTGGTTGTGAGCAGACTGGTTTAGCTTCATATGGCTATTATTGGCTATATTATCATGTTTATAAATTATATGGCGGATTTGGGGTCCAAATGACTTCTAGTGACTATCAATGATGATCAGTCACTATTTCGACTTATTTGATTGTATGCAGGCTGAGTTGGCTTCCAATGGCTATTATTGGCTATAGGCATCTGTTATTGACCTGGTTTGCTCGAATTGCCAAAAAATGGCTATTAGTGTTTATTGGTCGCAATATTCTGCTATTCTCTACTTATGAATGAAAATGGCTTCAAGTGGCTATTGTTAGCAATTGCATATCATCTTAACAATACCACCTTAAATTGCTTCAGAATGAACATTAGTGACATTTAGTGACATAGTAATCATGATGTTTTTTTTAATATGAATGGATTCAAATGTCTACTATTATTGGCTATGGGCAGTTCTTGGCCAAATCGGCTTGAAATGGCCATACATGTCTATCAGTGACTATTATTGGCAATTTATGTAGTTGGGGTGTGTCTAGATTTGAATGACTTCAACTGGATAGTATTGGCTATAGGCATCTATTCTTGACTTGGTTGGCTTGGATTGGCTATTATTGGCTATATTCATCTGTTCCTGACTTGGGTGGCTTGAATTGGCTACAAAGGGCTTAAAGTGACTAGTATTTATAATTAGCAGCTATTTCTTTGTCTACAAACTGAAATGGCTTCATGTGGCTAGTTTTGGCTATTACCATATATTTTTTTACCAGTCTGGCTTCAAATGGCTATGAATGGCTATTTGTGGATATAGTTGACAATTCTATGCTATTTCAGTGATTATGACTGAAAATGACTTCAAATGGCTATTATTGGCTATTAGCATGTATTTTGATAGATTGGCTTAAAATGGCTATACATGGCTATCAGCAACTATTGTTTACAATTTATGCAATTGGAGTGTGTCTAGATTTGAATGACTTCAACTGGACAGTATTGGCTGTAGGCACCTATTCTTGACTTGGTTGGCTTGGATTGGCTATTATTGGCTATATTCATCTGTTCTTGACGGGTGGCTTGAATTGGCTACATATGGCTTAAAGTGACTAGTATTTATAATTAGCAGCTATTTCTTTGTCTACAAACTGAAATGGCTTCATGTGGCTAGTTTTGGCTATAACCATATATTTTTTACCAGACTGGCTTCAAATGGCCGTGAATGGCTATTCGTGGATATAGTTGACAATTCTATGCTATTTCAGTGATTATGACTGAAAATGACTTCAAATGGCTATTATTGGCTATTATCATGTATTTTTGTTAGATCGGCTTAAAATGGCTATACATGGCTATCAGCAACTATTATTTACAATTTATGCAATTGGAATCTATATAGATTCAAATGACTTCAACTGGATATTTTAGAGTGCAGCTCTTAGGGGCCAGTTCCCGGCTTGAGCGGCGTCGGCGTCGCCGTTGGCGTCGCCGTTGGCGTCGCCGTCGGCGTCGCCGTCGGCGTCGGCGTAACCAAGGTCACCCCAAGGTCACGCGACCCCCAAGGTCATCCCAAGGTCACGTGGCCTCCAAGGTCACGTCACCCCCAGAGGTCACGTGACCCCTCCCCCAGGGTCACGTGACCCCCGAGGTCACGTGACACCCAAAGTCACATGACCCCCCGAGGTCACGTGACCCCCCCCCCCCCCCGAGGTCACGTGACCTCCCCGATGACGTCACCGGCATCCACATCGTCATCGTCATCATCACTGATGACGTCACTGATGACCTCACCGGCATCCGCATCGTCATCGTCATCATCACTGATGACGTCATCAGTTACGTCACTGATGACGTCACCGGCATCCGCATCGTCATCGTCATCATCGCGGATTACGTCATCAATGACGCCACTGATGTCGTCATCGACATCCGCATCGTCATCGTCATCATCGCTGACGACGTCATCGGGGTCCGCATCGTCATCGTCACTGATGACGTCATCAGTGACGTCACTGATGACGTCACCGGCATCCGCATCGTCATCGTCATCATCACTGATGGCGTCATCGGTGACGTCACTGATGACGTCACCGGCATCCGCATCGTCATCGTCATCATCACGGATGACGTCATCAGTGACGTCACTGATGACATCATCGGCATCGTCACGTGACCCCCCCCCAGGTCACTTCACCCCCAGTACCCTTCCCTCCTCCTCCTCAAGAGCTGCGCTCTAATTCGGTGTTACAGGGAGTTGTAAACGGCTTTCACTTTTTTTGCTATAGGCATCTATTCTTGACTTGGTTGGCTTGGATTGGCTATTATTGGCTAAAATCATCTGTTCCTAACCTGGGCGGCTTGTATTGGCTACAAGTGGCTTAAAGTGACTAGTATTTATAATTAGCAACTATTTCTTTGTCTACGAACTGAAATGGCTTCATGCGGCTAGTTTTTTGGCTATTACCATCTATTTTTTACCAG